CCTCCTTCGATATTCCTCTTCAGCTTACTCTCATATTCACCAAAACATTGCCGTACACAACCCAAACATGAGCGCTCCAGTACGACTATCTCTTGTCTAATGCAACCCCACCCCACGCCCCATTTTTGTTTATCTACCTTTTGACACAGATAGTTTGAGGTATAATGCCGCCCCACGTATGAACACCACACCACCCGCTCTTCTTGTTTCTAACCAATCACTCCACCCCTCACAATAAAACATTCCCCAGTGGCGTTATTTTACCAGAAAAATCATGCATCTCGGGGCGGTGTGAGACTTTCCGCGGGCCATTGTTTGAAACGATTGCGTAAGTTCCCACCCCCCCCCTTGATAGATTTTCAAAGCTCGATTATTCTACAGCAGAAAGAGCGGCGGGGGGGAGGGAGGGGGGGGGGATGAGCAGGGCGTGTTGTACTATAGGTTGCGTAAGGTACCACACCCCCTTGACAGATTTTCAAAGGTCGATTAGTCGATGTACAGCAGAAAGAGCGGCGGTGCCGAAACGGAGCCGTCTGGTGGAGAACCTTCCCTTCCGTTCCGAAAACGCACTACTGTCTCATCATGTATGAATCCTCTTCGTCGTGGACTTGTCGAGCTTTGAAAACCGGTCCACGAGGTGGTGGTATTTTGTGCCACCTACTTGTACAATGGGATGTATAGGTGATTGCGTCGGCAAGTTTCGGTTGGCCAAAAGTAGGCACGCGCTTTTAGCCAAGGTCTCGCTTTTAGCACCACAAGCACAAGGTGTGTGCCCCGCGTAACCACCCACTCCTACCACTCTGTGTTTGGTCGTCGACGAGGTTGCGTGGTTCGTGGTTCTTGAAAGCGGCTCGATAAACCATCGCTGGGGTAGATGCCAGCTTTTCGTAGATGGATACGTCACCGCACACTGTTGTGCTATGCATAGGATGCGTCGTATCTACAAAGGCCGCCCCCGCCGGCATCACACCCCCACATGCATGTTCGTGGAACGAAAAGCGTCGTGTATGACGCACTTTAATGTTCGCGAAAGTACATCAGTCATTCATTGACAAGCCTTGTTGCGACACCTCCCTGCTCAAGCTCAATCCTGTGCATCGATTTGATTGTGGTAGCTGACCCGTTCGCTCTGTTGATTCAGAGCGTTTCGGGTCATTATGGTCTCGAGAAACCAGCACAGAAGTTGCGATAGACACGCGAGGGTGGTTAAACTTAAACCACCTCGTTGGCCCGCCGTGTACCATGGTCTGTTCGGAAATGTAGGGACCATTGTGGCATTGAATCAAACTTGTTGCGCAAGTACTTGGATGTGCTTGTGCATCTGGACTCTCCGCATCAGTCGAGGGTCCTCGCCTGTCGCGGATAGTCCACATGCGAAGTACATCCAACTACCTTGCGCAACAAGTTTGACTCAATGCCACAATGGTTCGGAAATATAGGGACCACTGTGGCTGAACCAAACGTGTTGCGCAAAGTAGCTGGATGTGCTTTTGCATCTGGACTATCCGCATCAGTCGATGGTCCTCGCCTGTCGAGGATAGTCCAGATGCGAAGTACATCCAACTACTTTCGCAACAAGTTTGATTCGATGCCACAGCAGTGGTCCCTATATTTCTCCGAGCAGCCGTGGTGCACGGCGGACCTACGAGGTGGTTTAAGTTAGAACACCCCGTGTCTGTCGCAACTCTTGTGCTGGTTTCTGGAGACCATGATGGCACGACCGCAATGTGCAAAGCTCGTGTCGTGTTGCTCGTTCAGCCGTCTGCAACAAGGAGAGCTTTCGGCCAATCGCGTGCTGCGCATCTCGCTACCCCCGCGCCTCCTTGTCTTTGGAGACCTTGTGGCACGCGTACGATGTATTTTGCCGCTGTCGCCCACCGAACCCATCGACCCTCAGTCCTCTGCCGCTCTCCCCCCTCTGATCAACCGCTGCCATGTGGTAGGCGTTTAACGACAGGCGCTGCATCGCCGGCATCGGCAAAGAGGACGCCGCTGGTGCCGAAGGCGAAGCGACCGCGGACCAGCTTCTTGTCCTCAGCGCCGAAGACACCACGGCCTGCTGCCACGGGTTCCACTGCGGATTGAGGTACGTATATGCACGCAGTAGAAGACCTCATGATCGATGTTCCTATGCTCGTCGGAACGTTCTCGTCGTACCTAATGTCGCAACATGCCCTTGAATACAGCAGTGCTACCTCTTTTGCGAGGTGGGAGTGCCAGTCACCTACATGGCTTAAGGGACGATGCACGCCGGGTTTTTCTGGGCGGGGCGTCTCTAAGAGATTTCAGGGGACGGGTATATCATCGCCACCCCCGGTTCCGCGTGTTTTGACTGGTGAAGCCCCCCCCACCCTCAATGATTCCACATGGTAACCTCTGCGGATACCATATACTTGTACATTTTTTGTTTGTGCTCATTTTTCCGTCTTGATGCAACCCTTCCATAACACTCTCGAGGGCACAACGAGCACCGCCTGCTCAAACTGCGACCTACCACACGTAGCGAGGAATCCACCCGAATATTGTGCGCTCTCGTCAACAGTTTTTTTCAAAACCTACGCCACTCCTCCTTCTGCCTCTTGATGCTGGTTCGTATCGCAGCATGGGATGCAACGGCGGCCAGCCGGGGTCTGCCTGGAAGTGGTTCACGAAGACCGGTGTCGTTACCGGTGGCGATTACGCCGACATCGGCACTGGAACAACGTGCAAGGCGAGTCTTAGTCTCAACTGTTTTTGTTTTTCTTATCGCGCGCATATTGATCAGACAGGGCACGCGAAACAAGCCGCAATGTGTATGTTTCCCAAAGGCGACTCTTCGTCTAGTCCGTTTGTTTTTTGTTTCTTTGTCGCGCGCATATTGATCAGACAGAGCACGCGCATCAAGCCGCAGTTTGTGTGTTTTCCAAAGGCGAGTCTCAGTCTCGTCTGTTTTTTTTGTTTTTCTATTGTCGCGTCCATATTGATCAGACAAGGTGTGTGTTTCCCAAGGCGAGTCTTTGTCTCGTCTGTTGCTTTTATTCTCTTGTCGCGTGCGTGTTGATATGACCGGGCAAGCGAAACAAGCGGCAATGTGTGTGTTTCCCTTGACAATATCCCTTCGTACTCGTTATGCCATGCTATCGATAGCCTGGCGGGCGAAACCGGATGACGCCCTATCAATCCCAGCTTGGCACGAACAACAAGGTTCCGCTCCTGTTCCCGTCCCCCCCCCCCCCCGCGTAAGACGCGTGAAACGGTGCCCTTTTGTGGGCCCACGTTACTCATGATGCTGATTCATCCGGCATCCAAACAAAAGAAACAAGACCAGTGTAACCTCAGCCACTGCACCGCTCCATTTTTGTCGGTGTTCCTTGTCCTGCCCATTGTCCTGTGCCCTTCACCACAGCCGTACGAGTTCATGCCGTGCGCGCACCACGTGGACCCCGGAGCGTCGGGCTACCCCGCCTGCCCTGACGGCGAGTACCCCACTCCCGAGTGCCTGTCGGAGTGCTCCGAGACCAACTTCAGCGGGGGAAGCTACGGCGAGGACAAGAAGATGGCGAGGGAGGCGTACTCGCTGGCGGTGAGGACAAGAATCCATTTTTTTTTTTCGTGGTTGCATGTTGGTTTCTTTTCGACGTATTTCGCGTCTCCTTGTTGTATTTATTTTCATTGTTGGCCTCGACTTTTGTCGGGCTGGGTTATGTTGTTGAGAGGCAGGCAGCATGTCTTTGTATTCTTTGTTTTGGCGCATTGTGATTGCAGTGTTGCATGATGTTGCTCCTCTGTTGCTGTTGGTTCTCTGGCTTTGCCTCGAGGAAAATGAGAGGTTTTTCTCCTTATCGAGGGGACCGTGCACCCCTACTCCGCATGTTTCAGTACGCTTGGCAGGTCGTACAGTAGTATCACGGTCCGATGCTCTTCTCCGTGTACCCCTCAACTCACATCGTGTGCTTCATTCAGTGCCATCTTTTTCAGTGCGCTTGGCGATCCAGTAAAGCTGGCATTACACAATTGAACCGCTTTGGTAGGTTATAGTATCACGGTCCGATGCCCATCTCTCTTAGAGCAGCGCAACGATCTGATACCCCTCGCGCCCATGGTGCCTCCCTCTCGTCAGGGCATCGAGAACATCCAGCGCGACATGATGAAGTACGGCTCCGTGACGGCCGCGTTTTCAGTATTCTCGGACTTCCTCACCTACTCTGGGGGCGTCTACACCCACGAGTCCGGTAAGAGGGTTCTTCCAAGTGCCGTGTGACTCTCGCGAGATGTGCAGCTCGCGAACCGTTGCAAAAATCGTTGCGAACGGTCACAAGAAATCGTTCGACATGGAAGATTTCACAGATTTGCGCTCCTACTGACGACCGATACGCCCTCTGCCAAAACCAGGAAAATAAGAAACAATCAATGACAACACACCCCACTACTTGTTATTTTGATGACGCTTGGCTCGCATGAGCCCACTGCGGAGGGATGGCTCACGAGACCCCTTTGAAAATTTTTGTATGTACTGCCGAAAAGAGATCCCGTACATTCCAGGTTTCGACTTTTTCGGGCGTTCTTGAGGCATGGAAAAACGATCGGTCGGCGTGAAATGTATCCTTTGAACACGGGAGACGCGGCAGAGCGTTGCCTTTCCTCTGTCAAACGAGTAATAGAGTATTGGGTTAGATTTTGGGGTTAGGGACCACCACTGGAGGACCTCGCATGTTAGCCAGGGGCTCGTTTGTTTTTATCTCTATGGGGCAACGTAACAGAGACAAATATAATCTTGAGTGAACCCCTGTGAAGATTCGATCTTTTCGAGCCTGACGCTCTTCTCTTTACGTAACTGCCAGGTTCTTTTCTTTTCTAGCGTAACTGTAGCGTTGGAGCATTCTGTAGTACACAACACGAGCACACACACCATAAGTAGGTGGAGGTCATTGCCACTTTCGATTCGCCAAAGGCAAGGATATCGAAGGCGATGGCACACGTAACACCAAGGCCAGCAACAGTAATAATAGTCTCCTGAGTGTCATACAGCCTCGTTCATGAACACACACACCGGAAAACAGGTTGGGATCAGAGCAAGTTTCAATTCGCCGACGGCACACAAACATCACACCCAGATCAACATCCAACAGGAGGAGTTTCCCCTCCGGGATGCCATACGTGCAGTTCAGTCATTCAGTAGCGATACAAATATCACACCCAAATCAATAACCACCATGAATCCCCTGTCCTGAATGCCAACATGTACAGGTTCGTTCATGGGGGGGCACGCGGTGAAGATGATCGGTTGGGGCACGGACGAGGTGAGCGGGGAAGACTACTGGCTCATCGCCAACTCCTGGAACCCGTCGTGGGGGGAGGGTGGTCTCTTCCGTATCCTTCGCGGCGTCAACGAGTGCGGCATCGAGGGCCAGATCGTGGCCGGCGAGGTGTAACTGTAAAAAGCGTGCAGACAGCGTTTCGGTCGAAGTCCTCGATGCCTTCCGCATATGAGTACCGCCTCTCATAATGTTGAGTTTTTTCCGGCATGCAGCGTTGTGGAAATCAGTCATGTTCGTCCACCTTTGTGATTGTTATCCAGCGATCTGTGATGGGCTTGGTTTATTGTTTATTGGTAATGCCCCCGGATGTTGCGGCGAAGACTGATGGACGAACGATGCTCTTTTTCTTCCTCGACTTGGATTGGTTCGGATCGCTATTCGTTCTGTGTTGACTTTACGGTCGTGCGTTGGCGTAGATTTGTAATATAATAGCAGGATGGCGCGCTCCGTGTTGGAATCGCTGACCAGTCGCGAAGGAGACGCCGACGATTTTGGTTCATCGGCTGCCCCCTTGCGCGGTGTCCCTGTTGCTCTCACGTGTTGGATTTTGACGGGGGGGGGGGGAGGTTGTTTTTTTCCGTTGCCGGTTTGTTGTCCGGTCCGTACATAGCGACAGCTCAAAGAGTGTAATGCAGGGCGTGGTTGTTTGGTTTGCGGAGATGGTCCGAGGAACCTAGTGCGTGGTATTTCGTTCGTCAGCAGCGCCCGCTTCTCGACAGACATGTTCCTACCTGCAGGACGATCAAGAAGCTCACCGGAAAGGACACGTGCATGACATCACCGTACATGTTTCGATCTGTTTGGTTTTGTACTTTCGAACCGTCGGGGCGGGATCGAGCCAAGATTGTGGGGAGGGTATTACATTTTATCCATGAGTAGGGGAATGAGGTTTTGTCAGCCCCTTCCTCCCGCCCACCGGCATTCTCGACGCTGGGGGATGTTTGTTGGGTGGTGACGTTAGGCACCACGGGCGCTTTGTATATATACTGTAGCAGCAGGGAAGTACCTCGCGGAGTCGTGGTAGATGGACGTCGGTGGTATTGATCGAAGCCGATTGAAAAGTGTGAGCTGCCATCCGGGCCATAGAGAAGGGATTTGGAACAGCGCTCCTGGGGTACTGGGCCTGGTGTAGATGCTTGTTGAGGGGAAGGGCGATTCGAGAGAGGTTTTCACGTAAAATGGTGTTGGCTAAGATTTCGATTAATGTAGGAAACAAAGTTCCGCTTGTGCTGTTGTTGAGTCGTTCCTCCTTTGGCAACGCGAAGAGTGGAAGAGGATGGGTTGTTTTTGGCGATTTTTGCCAAAAGCCCAAAGCCTGAAATGTTGCAAAGACGGACGAAATTCCGTTCGAGGTTCTTCTCCGAGGGGATATGCTCAAGTCTTCACATTGAGGCTTGGGTGATGCCCGCTTGACAGGGCAGGGATATGAGTTCCCTCTTCTTGTGCTCTTTGGTCGTCTCCTATTGACACTCAATCCCGTTCCGACATGGAATACATTGCGTGAGAAATGGATTAAGGTGGGGTCGGGAAGGGCGGTTAGTTTTCCCTCCCTAAGTCCCTCGCTTGAATGCTAGAAAGACCGTTCGGCTTTTCTCCGGATGACAAGCGCTTCGTATTGTTTGTCACGCAAGCGTGATGTCATACATGGTATCTTGTGAAGTCCCTGTAGGGATTGCAGTTTCTTCTGTTGCGGCTGAAACAATAACACGAAATCCCTGAAGACGCTTTTTTGTGACCCTTCGGTACTTGATTTTAGACAAGACCGTCGAATCAACCACGTCGCGCGCCCACGGGGCAAGTGTGGAAATTAACAACATTTTTTTTTGTACAGCTCTCGACAACAGCAACTGCTTACGTGCTCTTCCCCGTCTTATGCGCGACCACAGAGTACCCGTCCTCCCTGAGTCGCGGGGAGGTTGTGGTGTTTTTGTCTCCACAACAAGTTTAACGCTTCCCGCTGATTTCGGTCACTCCGTCCCTCCCGTCGATTTATTCGGTCATCGCGCATGTTGCAGCACCTCTACAAACTGCGGAGATGGGTCCACGAACCTGTGGGAGCCACAGGACCAAACACACACAGACAACATTTATCGGAGCAAGTTCGCCTATGCAGTTGCAATCAAGGCCATGCGAACCTCGGGTCACCCATCCCAAAGCGGAAAAAATGCAAAAATATTGTGAAAATGAAAACCAGCAGACAAGGCACTCGGAAAGAACAATACCACCCCCGTGTTTAGGGCATTCGCCACCAGCAGGGGGTTCAACCGGAAGGATTGCTGTACTCGTGTCCGACCGCAACGATTATCATATGGAAGTAAAGAGAAGTGAAGCACAACAAGATGTCAGGACTTGCTGCATTCATTCGCGCAACGAAGTTCATTCATTCCAATATCGCCGGGGGGTACGTGGAACAAAAATAGCGTTCACGCCCGCTTTGAAAGCGTTTTGAAATGTTGCACATAGAAACGACTTCTCAGTGATTCGGTATAATCACGGTCCAACCGAGAAGATTATGGTCCAACGGCGTTGCTCAGCTTCCTCCATCAGACTATCCACTCTGACGATGGTGTCTTTTTCGGGAGCGTGGAACCACTACGTCTTCCCATTCATTGGCTTGCCAGAACGGTTCGCCTTTTCGGAGGGTTTGCAACGCCTAGGCTCGGCAGAAGGATATGAATCATCCGTTCCATGTTTCTGCAGTTAATGATCTTCCACGATTTCTTGAGCTCGTACTGCTGGCCATTCTGTCTCTGGAGCTGCTTCACAAGTTTCCCCGGATCCTCTTGAGCAGTGTAGCCAATCTTCCAATGGTTCACATATTTGACGTCGCGCAGAAGGTACACGAATCCTATGCCGTCTGAAGATTCTAGAGGCGTGTCTGCCGAAAGAAAGGACCAAGAATGCAAGGATTTCCCGTCCAGAAATGGAGGTTAGATTTCATTCATTTCACAGATGTTATGTAGGTGCTGCTGCGAAGTATGTCGACTGGGGTCGAACTACTTGTATGTATGCAGTCTTGCTGCCGCTGATGGAGCAAGTCTACAATCGTACACCCGCACGCCCGTGCACTGACCGCCAGTATATCTTTCTGAGACCAAGCCCTCTTTGCCGCGCGATGGAAGTGATCATGGTAGCAGCGGTTTGATGGAGCGCCGCTCGCCGGCGATTTGGAATTTGGAGCGCAAAAGTAAGTGAACGAATGATTAATTTTTACTCTCCTCTGTCGGGAGTTTCTTGTTATGTTGCCCACCCGTGCGGGGATTGATTACTGCCAGCCCCTTTCGTATCGGGCGCGGAAATATTCAAGCATGAGAAACCATCAATATGAAAAAAACTGCCATTGCTTGCTACAGTAAGCTGGTCCTAATAGATAGGCGGGCGCCTATATCGACCGGCTTTCGGTACCATCACCATCGCCGAACCCAGCCAGTGCTACTACGGAGTGTTGTGAATGTCAATGAGACAGGGAGGGGCCAAGCACAACTCAAAATGGCTGACGCTGGCTGCATCGCGCGCAAGCACTTGCTTTCAGTCGATCTTGTTCGGAAAGAGACACATTTACGCGCCTACATACACAATCAAGGTTTGGACTATTCTTCGAAGGGTACGGAAATTCGGCCAAATTTCGACCCAACGGCCTCAATAATCTTGCAGAACGAATGGAAATCTTGCTGGTTCACTTGTCTATTTCTGCTTCTTGACTGCTGCCATACGGAAGGCGCTGTTCTCTTCAATCGGAAGAACCTCTCGCCCTTCACCGGACAGGGGGCGCAATTGTATCCAAACGCTAAGGATATAAGTACCAACTATGGGGCGCTTTCGTGCGTACCAGGTAATATGCGTACGGCCAACGCAACAAAAAAAAATCGGGACTACACAGAAGACATCTCCTCCTTCTTGCTGTCATCGCAGATCTGTATGCGATGGCCTTTATATGATGACCGCATGATGATGGTTTCTAAAAGCTTCGCCGCTGAGTTTATCTCGGGCTGCAAAACCGGCATCAAGGGGGGTAGCAAAAGCGGAAACAATCCAAAAAAAACATTTAATAACGCAATGTCGACGCCCCCGGCACGTGGAACACGGCCCCGCGAGAAGAGGCCAAAAGCTTAGTATAAGGCGAGTCTTTTGAACTCAGTTACGTGCAGGCGGGGGAGGACGTCAACACTTGGTGGCCGCCCGCCAAACGAAGCTACATCAGTCCAAGGCCATCGAAGGCTCCCGGGCGAACCGACTGACGGGGGAGCCTCTGCACCTAAATCCTGAACTTGTATCAATGGGAATGACTCGTGCGATATCATCGAAAACATCGATTACCGGGAAGATGTTCGAAGGCCGCAGAGCCGCTACATCTACCCACATGCACATTGGCGTTTTCTCGTCCTGCCATGTGACTGACGACTTCTTAGTGGTCAGCCGATTCGTGCACAACAGCAACCACAACACAACCATCCCCGGGGAAGCCGGGTGTACCAAAGGAGGACACATAAATAATCGAAACAGTAACTAGTCCTACCAAACTAGTACTGCAGGTCCCGCGTGATAAACTAACGGCCAACAAACCAAAGGCAATACACGAACCGAGGCTTGCTGCACACTTAAGCTTTCAACGGGCAATCTGTAACCATGCGCAACCCCACGCACCAAAAGCCTTTTTCTATGGATAGACGAATATTTTCGGCTCCAAGTCGCCCTCGAATGCCACACGTACCCATGCACAGGCGACCATAAAACTTACCATGCACATGAACCATGAACACGCAAAGCCCCGGTCAAGGCAGAAACGGTATCAAACGTCATCCATCAACAGGCAACGCACACAGGTTGAAGTCGCGCACCGATCGTTTTCATCGGACAAAAAGGGGGATGGATCGGTTGGAAGGTTTCGCGACGGGTGGTAAGCCGCACGTACAAGACACCGATAGGGTAGGGGAAGCAACACACGGCAGGACCAAAACAAGAGACCACCACAACGCGACGAGAGACCACCACAACGCGACGAGAGACCACCACAACGCGACGAGAGACCACCACAACGACAAGCCTGTGTGACGTCACAACTTCACTGTACGGAACAACATTTTGTGTTCGCTCAGGCAATGCATCACGATGCACCTTGCCGTGAAAAAACGTTAACGACGGCCAATAGGGCGTTGGCAGCACCCAACGCGTAGCCTACAGAACGACAGCCGCCTCTACGACCACATCCACCCAGCGTGAGGTTGGTTCACTTGACAAGACGAAGTCTGACGAGCAGTCACAATCTTTCTGGCGATGTCCGAGACGCAAGCCAAGAAAAAAACGGAGACGTTCAGTGAAAAATATGAAGTCTAACAAACGGTCACAATCTACATTCTGGCAACGCGAGTCGACGCAGCCAACGAAAGTAGGAAGCATCGACCCTCCTCCCCCCCCCCCCCTTTCCCGAGGGGACCGCCTTCCCGAGAAAGTAAACATATTAACAAATATAACAGGGAGGGGGGTACGCAGACCCCATCCCTAACCCTAACCCAAATTCCCCGATTGGATTGCATGCTTTGTCCTCCATGTTCACTTAACAAAAAAGCCCTGCGAGGGCCATGTTTACAAAATAAAAAACCCCTGTGGAGGCTACTGCTGTCCCGAAATTTCGGTCACCGAAAGGAACGAGCCGTCATCTCCCTTCCAAATTACGCCTGGGGGGGCTGAAGCAGGATTACCGAGGGCTCGTCGTCCGAATCAAAATCCAACCTTCCGCCGCGTTCTCGTCCGTTGAGCACGTCCAGCAGCTCGCTCGGCTCTGCGGCCAGGCGCTTTCCGAGCCACTCCAGTTCTTCCTGGGGGGGGGGGGGGGGGGGG